TTTTTTTTTTACTATCTGTAAGGTTTTTAACTTTTAAGGAAAACAACAACAACAACAAACCAAAACTAGTCAAATAATTTAAAAACTGAAGAATAATAGAAAAATCTGCAATAATAATAATAAATAAAATAATAATAATAGTAATAATAATATATTAAAAATAACAATACCAAGTATTTTGAAAATTAATTCAAACAAATTTAAGTGTAATGTGAAAAGAAAACCAAATATATTAAAATTTATTTAAATTTTTTATTTGTCAACTAGATGCAAACAAACAATAAAGATCCAGAGGCAACTGCAAATCAGATTTGAATCTCAATTAATTAAAAAATGTTGTTTATACAATTATTTCGATCAAGGTATTAAGTATTATTATATCTCCAAAAATGAGGACGCGTGGATAAATCATACTTTAACAAATTCTTTCTTGAAATATTTCCTCATCTAAAACAAGTATATTACGCTTTTGAATATGGCCGACGATTTAAATCGATATCCTGATCATTTGGTCTCTTTGTTTGATTTGCACGCGGGACTAATGAAGACCGGTTTAAACGAGATGAAAGGAAGAAGAACAAGCAACCTACACCAAAAAGGAACAGAAACAAGCAACCTACGCAACTACAAAATGTAAGCCTAACCACGAGTTAAAGTCCCAGGCAAAAGCACTAGTGGCACAGGCAACTACCTCCAGCAGCAGATCGGCATAAAAATATATAATATTGGACTTATGGCCGTGCAAGACCAACCATAAGATACCCTACACCATTTCGCCTAGTACAATTATTCATTAGTTTTGGCAATAATACATGACGTGATTCGTATTTAGGAAAAATTTTATTATTTTTCAATTTCCATCGTGAAAAACTAGATATAAGCCTTCCTATATAAGGGCTTGCTTAAGTTTCAGCTCTAATAGAAACGGCCGAACCAAATTTTTCAGGGACTTTTGTCAGAAAAATTTGAGAATTGCGATTTTTTTCGAAAACATGTCGAAAAGGGGACTGAATTGAGCCATTTTTAATAGTACTCGTCCTTGGATCAAAGCACGTCAGTGCGCCAAATTTTGGTCAAAATAAATATAAAAAATTACGGCCTATATATTGAACGCAAGCAAACAACATGGGCAGACGAGCAGACACGGTTAGGCCATAGAATCATTCTCTAATTTGGTGGGTAAACGAAAACGTGGTTCTATTTTAAGTCCTTCTGTGTGTTGACAATTCGTTATATTCTTGTACCAAAAGTGGTGTATGGTATAAAAATATAAATTTAAGAAGAGTTCGTAAAAGATGTTCATTGTTCAAACTCGTTTGACCTGATCGGCTAACCTAAAATTCCACACTATTAACAAGAGCACCATTTTTAGGTGTTTTTAATAATGTTTTCAGGCTCTAAGTTTGTGTGAGCGGCTATTATTATTTGTTCATACTTAGTTTTGAATAATCTTTTGGTTTATAAATTTTATAAATTTCACGCCAAAATTCCATTCTCTCTTGATCAGGATTACATTTCATTTGTCCATCACTGCCATCTATATTTAGATAATCTAATGAAAAGGTAGACGTTTCCACATTTTCTGGTGCTTTTACATGTCGCCAATCGCAGACTAAAGGATTTTCAAAATCTACATGAGTGGGCTGCCCGGCGTAGGCAAAATTCGCCCACAATTTACACAATTGCTGGGTAACTTTTAAATCGTTGGCATTGTATTTCAACTCTTCAGCGGCCATTTGAAACAGATAGAATAGTTCGTCACCATGACAAGCTCCTTTTAATTTGTCCATTTGCAATAGAGTTTTGTAGAAATTACGTCCGCCCACGTAATCAAAACGATAAAAGTATACGCGTGCTTCAGGCTGATATCTCACCATAAGTTCGGCTGCATTTTGTAATTCAAATATGAAATGATTATCGCTTAAAAGGTTTTTTACTTGATCGAGATTTTCATTACATATTCGTTCACCCTTTAGATAAAAGTCACGCATTTTCCGAGCTATTGCTTGTATATCTTCCTCGGTTTCTAACGGTAGATTTCGCGGCACTAAGCGTTCAAAATCATTTTCATACAAGTCCGTCTTCTTGCGTACATTAACTAACATTGGGCAACCCTCAGCCGAATTATAACCCATTATTATGGGTACATTAAGCAAAAAATTATACTCTTTTAGCTTTTCCATTATAGGTGTAGATATAAAACAGTCCGGACTTTGATTGTCTTCGATAACGGGTTTAAAGGCAAATGGCAAAGCCTTGCGTCGTTCTTCTACTGTTAGGGTATCAACAGTTTTAGCCAGTATTTTTTCTGGGGTTACCGAAGGTGATTGCAAAAATTTAAGCATATTTTTCGCATCGTTGCAAGATTGCTGGAAGCCACACAGTTCAGCTAAACGTCGAGTTCTGTAAGAGGGGTTCTCCTGAAACACCCATTCCATATTGGCACTGCCGCTTTGCATGATAGCTTTATGGAAAAATTTATTATCGTATTGTGAACATAAATGCAAATGCACGGCCGCAGCACCAGCCGACTCTCCAAATAAGGTTACATTGCCGGGATTGCCATTAAATGATGAGATGTTATCTGCTACCCATTTCAAGGCTAAGCGCTAAAGTAATAAGGAAAAGTGACTCTCAGATAATGATGCTATTTTCACATTTTACCTGATCTTTTAGACCAGAATTACCCCACACGCCTTCCTCGGGTAAGACCAGAAAACCCCAAGCACCCAAACGGTAATTTAACGTGACTACTATGACACCTTCTTGCATAAGATATAACGGTAAGTAGCTTTTTCCCCGGAACAAAAATATAAATTTCAAGGTATTTTTTAAAGGCACTTTTTAAAGCACTTTTCACTTACTAATCACTATTTCCACTGCCAAACCAAAAACCCCCACCATGCACAAAAACCATAACCGGTAAGCTTTTTGCGACATGGCTACGCACCTTAGGGGCATAAACATTCAAAAACAAGCAATTTTCTGAGCCGATTGCTTCACCTGTAAAAGAGTCACGTTGATGACATACGTCCCTTTCCTTAAGGCAAAACAACTCGGGTTGATCGAAACGTTCCAAAGGCAAAGGTGACTGATTAATTTAAAAATAACAAAGAAAACATGTAACTTTCATCTTGTACCGACTTAAATACCTTGAAACGTAATTCTCCTGTCGGTGGTATTGCATATGGAATACCCTGAAAACTATAATAACTATTACCATTAGGCAAGTTCCGCTCCTCACCCACAGCAATACCTTGTTTAACTTGAACTTTGATCAATTTTTTGCACTAAAAATATATAATAAATTTATGCTTTTACTGGAACACTTCAAAAGCACAGCATCGTTTACCTTTTCATGGATGCGTCTAACAAAACTTTTAGACCTACAGCTATTCTTTATTAAATGGTGTAACATTTTAATCCCAGCAAAGGTAACGAAACAATTGTTTTCTCAGATATAAGTAAAATGTCTTATTAGAGCCAAAGAAATCTCTTTGCAAACCGTCAACGCCACACTAAACTGCAATTGCAAAGAGCGCAAAGAAAAACAACTAGTTGCGAAATAAACATCAGTGAATCATGAATGAGTTAAACAAGTAAGAGAGCAAAAGATATTTTCTGTTCAACGAATACAAATTATAACAAACTTCTGCTAAGATTGCAAAGAGAATCCATAACAAGAGTGAAACCAATACTCACAAACAGAATAAAATATTTTGTGATTTGATTAAAATCTTAGCTGTGGCAAATCGTAGGGACTGTGATCACGAAATGACGCTACACCGTTAATGTCCACTAATTTGCGTAAATTCTTGGTGACAACAAAGGCTTGCTGCAGTGATAGCGGACCAGACATTGACATTGAGTTTGTTTCAAATTTATCGCGTTTTCGAAAAAGAAACTTTAAAACGGCTCAATGATTACAAAAATCTTGCTCTAAACGCAAAGCTTTCTTCACCTTGTGATTTCCCCCATCACCACCATTGACGTATAGCGATGGCGTGTTATCATTTGTCTAAAATAGCTGGCATCCTAGTTAGGCCTACATATTGCTTAGCTTATCTTAAATCTTTAATAATATTTATAATAATATTTAGTATATATAAAATAATAATATAAATAATTAAAAAGCCGCACAAGTTATTAATTGCAATAAATTCAAGATATGTTTACGTGCTAGACGTTAAACTTACTAGACTATTGTAAATGCATTCGGCAGCAGGAAAACCTTCTAATCCGCGGATCAGCTTTCGGATCGGCTCAGGCTGTTTTATTTTCACGCGAGTTCGCTACAGACAATATCTATTATCTATTGTAAATACAATAATATAAATATATATTTTTAACAAAACTTTTGAGTAATATTTTTTGCCGATTGCTCCCGAATATTAGTACGATTTGCTTGAAATAAAATCTTATAAATTCATTCTGTGGTTCTATCCACCCTCGCAGGACCTCATTTGATTGAGGAAGGAGTATCTAGACACAATTGTTCGATAGGAAACAACATTCGTCACCTTCTCGATGCATTCTACTATTTGTGCGAATGTTTTAGTGCCTCTCTTGCTATGGCTTTGTATTTTAGAAAAAAGAAAAATCGAAATTATCTTGACTTACCCTATACGCTGCACAAGTGCACTTGGGCTGCTACTATTCTTCTTCGTCAGGATAAGCCTGCAATAATTCCATCATTCGATAAGTATCGCTCACTACATGGGTAGTTTTAAATTGGGGCACTCTTCTAGATCTTTTTTGTGTTCCGCCCAAGTGTTGGACTCTATTGTGCGCCGGTGCACAACGTTAGCGAACCTTGTATATTTTTGTTTACACTTCGCAATAATTGAACATGGGTTTGTTTAAAATTTGGGCACTTCAGAGAGTAAGCGTATAAAATTTGGGCACCTGCAGGCTCGCGAACATTACGACGCTGTAAAAGTGTAAAGCTGGATCCATCCTCGCGTAACATGTTTGTGGGCTGGAGCCTCTCTTCACCCAAAATGTGTTGTGCTGCTTCAGCAATTTCCATAATTGCTTGTTGATAATTCGAACTAGGACGTACAATTCGAATGAACAGAGCTGCTTTGTAAAAAAGGAAGATGCCTTTATTTTCTTTATTGTGTCACTATTTAATAAATAACTAATATCGTATCAGTATAATATATTCTTGATAATATACGTAGGAAACCTGCGATAAAGAAAGCTGCTCCCGGCCTTAATTGCAAGATCGACTAACAACCCAAATGCAGTTTGCTGGCCGGTGTCAAATGTCGCTACATTTACTAACGAAAGCAAATGCAATGGTCATTGTGACCACGCTAAGCTAGAATAATAAACTTTGCGTACACCACCAAACATTGCAAACGTTTCGCTTAATGGGATGTCATGGTCGGAACAAAGATATGAAATATGTAATACTAAATAAATATATAATTGTATATTTAAGTCTGGTAGAACTCTTGTTGAGCAACTGCTGGCTCCCCATAATGCCGCTATTACGCGAAGACTCGTAAGCTTCGATATCCATGTTTGTGAAAAAGTAATTTGCATAGCAGGGAATTAACAATGAGCAATCTTCTATTGGTCAAATAGGCTTATGCGACTATACGTTTGGGTGGTATACATCTATATAGATAGGTTTTTCCTTATCTTTTGCGAAGTCTCGAAGCGTTTGAGATGGCCCTGCCAATCATTTTTCCCGATGCAGTTGTTGGAAATGGTTAATGAGCCCTTTTCAAATTTTACTTTTATTTGGTTTTTGGAAAAAATGAAGAAAGTTGATTTGAACAGAGAATTATGCTACAGGTGTTTTGAGTAAAAACAAAATGAACATTTTTTGTTCATGTTCTTTAAAAAATATATGCATTTTGCTTATTTTCAGACACTTGTGCGATTGGTTTTTGGTCATTTTCACACACGCTTGGGGATTTTACTTATTTTGAGAGACCTGCACCCTGGTTTCCGCTAACTTTGAGAAATGTGCACCCTGGTTTCTGGCAATTTTGAGAGTTTGTTGTTTTTTAATTTTTTGAGAGTAAGAGAAAAGGCCGATTAAAAAAATTGAGAAATGTTCATGCAGGAATCTAGTACTAGTACTAAATAAAATCTTTCTCTCTGTCTTCGTCATTGTATCTTGCGTTAAGAATTTTGATAATCGTTTTATAATCAAATTCTTTCCCAATTTATTTTTCTCAAATTTAATGCATTACAAACTTGGCAATTCTGCATTTCACATCAGCTGATTTTTATTTACTTTTTACTTTGTGAATAACAAAATCGAAAAAAATAAGTATTTTTTGTAAATTATCTTTAGTTTATTCCAACTTAATATCTAAAAAAGACTATCTTTAGTAGAGCTAGAAAAAGAAGATATTAAAACATTTGTAACATTTATTATTAAGAATTTATAAAGTTAGACTTAAAATTATAGATAGTTAAACGTAGAAAATGGGAAGCTTTTTTACTAAAAATAAAACACCTAGAAGCCGCGTCACCGAGCAAGACAAAGCTGTATTGGTAAAGACAAGAGATTTCAGGCAAAGAATTTAATTATCATCAACTATTTAAAATTATATTTTAGCAGTTGAAGCACCAACGTGATCTTTTAAAGCGATATCAAAAGCGGATACAACTGAGTTTGGAGAATGATCGTCAATTAGCTAAGAAATGTTTAGCTAGTGGACGCAAAGAGTTAGTATCGCTATTTATATATGATTGAGTTATATTTTAGTAAATGGAATTCGCTTCCTTTACTCCATCTAGGCGAGCGAAGCTATTATTGCGTAAGAAAAAGTTTCAGGAAACTTTACTGATGAATACCGACAAACAATTGGAAAATCTTGAAAAATTAGCAACAGATATTGAATATGCACAAGTGGAAGCGAATGTAGTGGACGCTTTAAAGCAAGGTAATGAAGCTCTTAAGAAAATGCACGCAATGGTTGATATCAATGAAATTGAGAGAATTATGGATGAGACGCGCGAAGGCGTGGAAAAGCAACGAGAAATTGACTCGTTACTTTCAGAGGCACTATCCGAACAGGATGAAAATGATGTTTTAATAGAATTAGATGCTTTAGTTGCTGAGGAGGAAGCGGAGAAGTTTAAATTACCTGAAGTTCCTCAAGACGAGCTGTCTCTGCCTTCAGCAGATGAAACGCCGAAAGAAAGCAAAGCTGCCATTATAGAGAAACCAAAAAAGATTCTAATAGAGGCCTAGTATATATAGTCCACAATGTTGATTAAGATTTGTAACATACATATTTATAGTTTTACTTAATTCTTTACATTGAGAGTTACATTATGTTAATAAGCTAAAATTTTACATATATGATTAAAATTAAAAAATACTCTTAATAATCTCATTTTAAATCTCTTTACATGGTAGACATGCGAGCAAAACGCATTATTTGATCATGATTTGAAGGAGAATCGGAATTGATTTGTACTCTCTGCCAAGACTTCGTTTCACTCGATTTTCGTATTGCTTCTAGCACAGCTTGCACATAAAGACCATCTTCAAAATTAGCGGCCGCTTGCACTGGTTCTTTTATCCAATTGGACTCCTTACTGGCAAATGATTCCTTCAGAGCACCCACCATTTTACATAAGCCCTTTATATATAAACGGGGCAGCAATGTTTCTGAAGTGGCAAAATGCAAATCTTGAACATCAACATAAACGGCTTCTTCCTTTTGTGTTGTCTCTCCTTTGCTCTTGAATAAGAAAAGATCACCTCCACGAACTACCAAATGCCCTAAACTTCCACATATTAAGACCTCTTGAGAGAATGTTTTAGCCGGCACCGTGTGGCTTTGTATGGAAGTGGTTATTAAGGTACCATTTATAAGTTCCATTTGAAAATTGCAAAAATCAGGAGCGGATATCTGCCTAATGCCATTTATCCCCGGCGTTGATTTAGTATAAGATTTTACTACACCATGCACTCGAACGACGTGTTGTTTTAGTAAAAAACTTATTAAATCTATAACATGGCTACCAACTAGATTTAAAGCGCCTCCACCCATAGCTGCATCACACATCCAATCATATTTATCAGGAAAAATCGTGCCCAATTGAACACGCACATCTATTAAGGATATTTCACTCAACGGACCAATCATACCATCATGCAAACAACGTTTCATATGTGTGAACGCTGGCAAAGAAAATGTAATCTTTTACGTAAACTTGACACTTCTTTAATTGGAGACTATATCATTAAAAATGATAAACCTCTATTTGGTTTCAATTAAAGAATAACCATATATTTACCTGGCAGAAAACGCAGTGAATGATTTAATAAGGAAATCAATGTAGGGTAATACTGAGCCGCCCTCACCATTTTCATAGCATCGGATTGATTCAGGCTCATTGGCTTATCACACACAACATGTTTCCCTATACCTAGTGCCTTCACAGAAATTTCAGCGTGCAAAAATGGTTGACATACTACAAAAACTAAATCCACGTCTTTTCGTAATAAAACATCATCAATTTTGTTGGTAAAAAAAGCGATATTTTGGGATGATGAAAACTCTTCCGCTTCTTTTACGGTTCGTCCCCAAAGAGCTTTAATTTCAAAACCTTTTTCACGTAAAATTGGCACCAATACTTTCGTAATGGCTCCAGTACCAAACACGCCTACACCCGGTAACATTTCCTCATTAAATATTTCATATATTTCTTACTTCTCTGTTTAGAATAAATTTCGCACAACAACTTTCCTCTCCACGAAAACAATAAATAAATTACGGCATTGCCGACTTTAAATTTCAAAAGGGATGGAAAATAATGTAATATGGTAACTATGAGTAGTAAAGAGGTAACGTTTTGGTTTTAAGTTGGCCAAAAATATTTAATAACATTTGTCGAGTAATTAAAGACATAAAAACCCAAAATTTGTTTATTTTATTTTTTCTGCCGATTTTTCTATCCCTGATTGCGATTCATGAGGAGATTTGTTTTTGTCGGCTGTTTTTTTAAATCTCTTATTTAAATTCATTTCCTTTTTCAGCAGTGCACGTACGGCTTGATTATCTTCTCGTAGCTTATCAACCTCTTCCAGAAGCAAAACATTTTCCTTAAATATTTTCTCGTACTTCCGTTTTTCATCTCGATCGTCCGAGCGATGTTTATAAATTTCCAAAACTCGTTCGATTTGCCCACGCTGACGTTGAAATTCATCGCGCACGTTTGCGTCCAAGGATATGAAACGTTTAAGTTCATCATCGCTGGCATGACGTTGAAAGAGATTTTTTACGGCCACTTTCAATTGATTGGGAGAATTAATATGATTAGCTACATGATAAATTTCTGTACATATATTTTGAATACATTCGCGTGCGGCACGAGCTCGATGACGTTCTAGTTTCAAGTCCGCCACGTTGCTGATATACTTATCCTTGAGTTCCTTCAGCTGTAACTCTAGCTGGGCATTATTTTGATTTAAGCCAGCCAATTCATGTTCCATTTCTAAAATATGCTTACGTTTATCGTTTATTTGAAATTCGCGAGGTTCTATCTGAGCTTTAAGTTCGGCTATTTTATGGTTCAAGACTTGCTTGTACTTATCTAATTCTTGATTCTTATGTAACAACTCTTGTATACGTTTCTCTTTAGAGTTGATTGCATAATCGCGATCGGATATATCTTTTTGTAGATCCTCAATATTTCGATTTAGCTTTGCTATATTCTTTTGAGATTTTATTTGTTCTTCTTTGAGGACTTCCACCTCCTCCAATAAATTGTCTACTTCCTTCGTTAAAGTGTCATATTTTTTTTGTAACACCCCGGCACGACCACGCCATAATTGAGTTTCGTTGCGTTCGGTGGTTAAGCACTTTTCATACTCTATTTGAGTTTCAACCATGTTACGATCATTTTCTACCTCCACCTGGCGACAGTAAGCGATGAACTCAACTTTCTTGTCTTCCATTTCTTTCATCAAATCTCTTATCAGTCCTTTTCTTTCATCCAGCTGTTTCTTGTAATCCAGCTCTAGGCCTTCAACGGTATCCTGTAGCGTACCCGCCGACTTTTTCAGTTTAGCTTCATAATTTTCTCGCAACTCGAGCATACTTTCCCGCAATTTGGAGAATTTTTGATATTCAATAAGCATACGCTCTGAATATTGTGTAGCTAAGTGGTTTAGCTGTTTTTTATGTTCTTCCTTCAGGTCTTGTATTTGAAATGTAATTAGATTCATCTCTTCGGTATGACGTTCCTCGATCTCGTTATTCATACGTTTTAACTCTTCTAAAGCGTAGCAATAGGACTTATGAACTTCAGCCAATTGTTGCCCATCAAAAATTTCATTTTGACTTAATTGATATTGAAATTCCTCAGCCTGTTGCCGCAGCCGTAATTCCAAGTTAACAATTTGATCGTTTTTCTCACTAAGTATGTTTCGCGGTATTAAAACTTCTTGACTTCGTAGTAAATCTTGATCCATTGCGGCAACTTTACCTTCAATGTTTTCCATTGCCCAGATCGAAAGGGTTCCACCCTTCGTAATGGCAATCAATAAAGTCCCATCGTATGAGAAACGTAACTTGTGTATTGCTGTTGCAAAGAAACGGAAATTGGTGCAACTGCCACCGCCAGCATCCATTAATGGCAATTGTACATTAAATAAATCTCCGACCTCGTTCGCCACAAACATTATAAGATCAGAACGTGTTATGCACAAGTCAGTTAGGCGACATTTAGAGTGCGAGGGGACAACAATTTCTCGTACAAGTTCAGAGTTTCTGAATTCACGTAATAAACCAGAATCGGTGGCCGCATAAATGGAAAGTGGCTCATTAAATGTACTACGCACTGAAACGTATTCAGTTCCTTTTTGAACTATTTCCTGCAAACGATTTCCACTCTCCACCTCCCACTGATAAATGGCCCCTTCAGCACCACCCGAAAATAAATACTTGTCCGTTCTTGACCAAGCCACTGATAAAACTATGCCATTATGTCCCTTTTCCCGGAGCAAAAGCAATCAATCAATGAAATTCGAATAGTAATAAAATGTGGTCGCAGACTAACCTTTAATCTTATCAGAATCTCAAGATTGTATACAGACGAGATAGCAATTGTATTGTCAAATGCGGCAGCCATTAAATGGCCAAAGTTCGAGTACTTGACGTCTTTACATCGCGGTAGATTATAAGTTTTCACAATCTATTAGAACAAATCGGTTAAGCAAGAAGACGTAGATTATCTCACTGTGTATAAATTTGCTTCTACTTATTAACTTACGTTTAATTCATCCATATATATATGGGTTATTCGTAATTGATCAGAAAAGCCAATGGCTGCCTTTAAACCACTTGGATGCAACTCCACTATGTTAACATCTACTTGAAATTTACGTACCAGCTCCACTTTTTCCGTTTCATAATTCCAAATACGTATAGTTTGATCCTTGGCTAAAAGGAGATTTCCTTGATTACAACAGCAAGAAGAAGCATCAAGTTCGCAGCATATTACTTACAAGCTGTCATTATGATGGGTTTCCAACTGCACACAGAAACGTCGACAATCTCGCCAATGTGGAGCAATGCTCCTAAAGGTGTAAAGGTCAAATATTTGGTTTTTAGAGTTTCCGGTACTATTAATATGCCAACATAGATTTGTGGATGTTTCGTTGTTACTATAACGGTTTCCTGTTTGCTATCTATAGCCAAGTTCCTTATTTGATACAAATTCTCGGAGAATAATGTAACCGGTACTGTTAATACAGTTTTTCGCTCATATTTAAATTTGGAAACACGTTCAAAGACGTACACCCTGTTAGAAATAGCAAAAGCAAAACCTCGACTAAAGGATGTCATGCACACGACGCGTATGTCGGCTAATTTCTCTGTTGTGTACAGGCGATGTTCGTTTTCTCGATCAAAAGTCTCCTGATCGATAAGCAAGTCTATAACTTCAGCTTCGCTGGCTTTCTGTACCAATTTTAATTCACCGTTTTCTACTAATATTAATTCGTTCTCGGTTGTTCCCACGATAAGCAAATCGAAGCTCATAAACGTCATAGACATAATATGATAGGGACACTTTAAGTTATTGCTTATATTAAAGCCTCTCTCCGATTTTGTCATTAATGTTAACAAATGGTGGCCACCCACCGCAAATAAGTTCACATCTTGGGGACTACCAGCCACGCATTCTGCAATGCTGCGTGATGCAGGCGGTGCTGCACGACTGTCCACTATTGTATTGGTTCTGTCTAACATTAATAAGTATATACGTCCATCAGGTGGCTTTGTTAGGACTAACAAAGCTCTGGAGTCAACTGTGAAAATAATTTGACCGACTTGAGCATTTTTCGAAGTAGCTGGTAATTCTAAAACTCGACGTTTCTTAAGCGAGGCCAAGTCATAAATCGAAATACTTTTTCCCCTAAAAGCAAATACATATATATATATATATATGTATATAGATTATATTAAACCCATATATAAAACATTTTTTTATGTAATGTCATTTATAGTTTTCTATTTACAGCTTTGTTTGTTCTAAAACTGCCAATAGTTTTCGGTGCGGACTAATTTGTATAATCAATGGTACAGTTTCTTCGGGCAAACGCAAAAATCTCTGCTTATTATTAACAAAATCATGGAAAGCCAAGACGCCCTCCACTGGATAAATCACTTCTTGTTGCAGATTAAATTGTATGTTACCCAAAACATCGACACGCAAACCGTAAATAGTTTTGGGTCTTAATCCTACGTTTACATCAGCAGATATTACATCTTCTTCATCCATTTTGTATATGAAAAAGAAACTTTCTGAAAATTTTTCACCTTTTCAAAATATTCAGAAATATATGTTGTAAGGAAAAAAAATTTTTTTTTATTGATCAAACAGCAAAGAGTTTTAAATGTTAACGAATAAATGAAAAAAATAAACAAATCGTACACTTTGTGTAGCCATGACAACGGAGCGTTAGCAACGCCATCATAGAACGCTCAGAGTTGCTTTTGCGACATTCATTACTTTTGTTGTTTGAATTGAAGAAATCTGCTACCGAACGCTATCAAACTCTTTTAGAAGCTTATGGAAATGCTGCTCCACCATTTCGGTTTTGATTTCAACGCTTCAAAAGTAGTGATTTTGATGTCACAGACAAAAGAACGGCCTGGGGGACCAAAAAAGTTCGAAGACAAGGAACTGCTTACCAGCGCATGAATCAACTGTTTCTAGATTCAGAAGGGGGGAAAAGGGCTAACATACGAACTAATTGAAAATGCCACTTCGAATTGTTTTACCATCGTGGTTCCATTGCTTAACAAACATTGCAAAAAAAAAAAAAGAGTTTTCTGTGGCATATTGTGACTGGCGATGAGAAGCGGGTCTACTGCGACAGTCCCAAGCACCCAAAACGTCATGGCGAACTAACGAGATAGACATCAAAACAGAATATCCATGGCGATGAACGTTTGCTGTGCATGTATTGGGATCGGCGAATTAATGCATTACGAGCTGCTAAAACCGAATGAATTTGTTACTGTGGATATCTATGGACGTCAACTGAAGAGATTGAATGATATATTGTTGCAAAAAAGAACAGCAATACCAGCTAACAGACGCAGTCATCTTCTTGCATAACAGCGCTCAGCTGTTGTACCTCGAATGGAAAGTTCTGTCGCACCCAGCGCATTTACCAGACATAGCCAAACGATTACCAATTGTTCAGATCGATACAGCGTTTCTTGAGTGGCATGCGGCTTTAAAATGCTAAAGAAGTGCGAAAACGGGTCGATGATTGGATCGCTGCCAAAGCAATATGGTTATTTCGGCATGGCATCGCCAAGTTGCTAAAAAGATGGGAGGCAGTCATAGAAAATAATGGAAAGTATTATCGGTTCTGTCATTTTTCAAATCAAATCTAGGAGACGATAACTAATTTCAGAATAAACTGACCGCCAATTCTTTGATGCCACTGACATTTGTACTGTCCGTGAACGTTTTAATAATTAATGGTGAACTCTTGGTTTTTTTATATCTAAGCTAATATTCATTTCGGTGTTTGATCGCTGTACTAGGGTTCGAATCTCGGTGCGGTGGACCATGCTTTGTAAATATTTACATGACTTGGATTTGCGTTGGCTTACCTGCCTTAAGTCTGGAAATATCGTATACAGTTTACTTTAAATTTACTATTGGCTTGTGTGCTTTCAATCGATTATCTTGTCTAAAATGTCATAATTTAATGTCTAAAGTGTTTCTCAATTCGGCTGAATGTATTTATTATTTATGTTGTAATCGGTATTGAAAATGAATAAACAAATATGTTTAACTTTTATACCCAGGCCTGAAACAGAAGTGCCAGGCTTGCACGATATAGCTTACATTGGATTGTTGGATAACAAATCATATAAAGCTAGCCGGCTATTAAATACCCGACACCATTTCGCTTAGTACAGTTATTCACTCGATTACCACGCGTTTACATCAAAAATTATTTTCATGCAAAGCTTCATTTTTCATTAAACCCGCTCGTTGGAGGATCCCCGAAACATCGCATGACGCGAAACAAATTTTAGCAAAAAATATAAAAAATATACCAATCCGATCGATATTCCCGACCGTTAATTATACCCTACACAACTGGTAATAGAGCGTATATTAACTTTATATGGACGTATGTAAAACGCACAACAGCTTAAGATAGACCCACCTTTTATTATATCGATCGATTCAGAATTAGACTACGACTGTCTGTCGGTAGGTCCATCTGCCCATCTGGCCGTCCAACTGTCTGATGTGTGTCCATGTAACTTTTTATTCAAGCTACAGATTGCAATTTTTGAGATATTTTAATGAAGTTTGGTACACCGACTGCTTTGATCAATGGACGAACGCTACTGAAAATAATTTGCATCGGTCCATTTTTTCGATCGCTCTCCATATAAGACTCTATTTTGAAAAGTCGTTGCATGGAAAACATTGCAGTAATAATATCCCAGCCTTCTAAAGTTTCAATGCGGAGAAGGCTAGGTTTTATTCTGTTATAATCAAAATTGATAATAGTTGATTGAAATCTCTTGGAAACAACAATTCGCAAGCAAGGTAAGCCTTTATGTCCAAAGGCGTGGAATTTTTAATATACAGTTCTATAATAATAAGTTCTTATGAGAACCGGATATCGTTTTTGTGTGCGACGGTAAAAATTAGAATTGTGCTTAGACAAATGTAGTGTAGGATATCTAAAAATCGATGCAGCCCTACTATAATATTTTCACTTGTTTTTTTTTTTTCTTCTTCCATGTGGTCGGTAAGCTTGATTTCTTTGTCAATTTACTCTTGCGAACTTATTTTCACCATGAAATATTAAAAATGATACCTTTTTCCATAAATACATCTAGTTTTCGTAAGAACGGTTATATAAGAGGATGTTCAAAAAATTTCCCTGTCGCTTTACTAAATTTTATCAAGATATCTCAAAAATGCAGCATGCAGGACTCATAGACGAATCATTTTCTGAATCGATCGGTATACTAACAAGTTGATCTGTCCTCCGCACAAACTGAATACATCAAAAACAACTGATGTAGGGTATAAATAGAGGTTAATTTGCTAGTGACATGAAATTACTCTAAATTCCTAAAATAATAAAACGCTGAACATAATGAGGGCATTTGCATCACGCATCATGAAAATTATATTTCATTTTTTTCAATTACTCCTCTTATTAAGCAACTAGAAGGCCACAGGCCTATTATTATTTTATATAGATATATTTCATGTGCAAAAAGAAACTACAACATAGTTGTAATCGTCTTGCTTGTTAAACTCCGTAACCATCAATTCTTGCCAGCAACACAAGGTACATTATAAGTTGAGTAATGTGGTCTATTTTCTTCTAAATATATTCAAAGAATCATCGAAGAATGTCAGACTCAGTCGTAAGGCATTCCAATATCGATGTTTGGTATTAATATGAAAGGGTTTCTATACGATCTAGGGCAGTATAGTCCTTCAATTCAAAGGCTTGGAACGCATGCATGAACGAGCGATGCATACGCAGGAAAAACGCGGTCGTTGCCAACCAAATGCCCAAGATCATTTACGAAGAGATTAGACGATAAGTGGGCGCAAAATGGATCCTTGCGGTACACCAGGCTTCGTCTCAGCGAGTGAGAAGTTCGAGTTTTTTACGATCCGAAATGCACGGCCACATAAGCTTATAAACGATTCCGAAAAAATTATCATACAATTGTTAATAATGTTGTATCATACGATTTATTAATAAGCTTAATTCATTGGACTCTATCACGTACTTTTGTTAGATTCAGAGCGACAAGAGCACAGCTCAGACTAACAAAGAAAAAGGAGCAAAAGTATGTGTACGGGTTCTAAATTGAGAAAGGAAAAAAGAGAAGGAAACGACTTGACATGCATTGCAAACGCAAAACAGTAATAAAAAGCAAATGCAAGAGTAATAATTTAATTTCACTCCAAGGGTTTTAAGAGAGAATCAAGAAAATTGCTCTTCTTTTGCAATATTGCATAGGAATGCTTTATACATTTTGTTTACTCTTGTGTAAAAATTATTGAACGTTTTACTGCTAATAGATATGATATCCTACTTAACATCGTCAACAGAGAAAGTTGAGATTTTGCACTAAAGATGCTATTAAAATATTTCGTAATGCGAAACAATCTTCGATCTTAAAGAGTTGGGTATGACAGGAAAACAGATTAATGTTAACAGTAATAAAGTAAAACTCTGTAGGTTTTTATCTGTTAATCGATATATATATATATATATATATATATATGCAGCAGGTCAGACGCCGTTTCTTCTCCGTATTTACAATTTCTATATAGATATTTATGCAAATGCCAGCCGGCCGACCTCATTATTTGAACACTGCTGTCTGTATGATGCACGTTGCAAAGACAAAACAAATATTTGCATGCACTAAATTTATCACACTACACAAAGAGAATGTCTGGGCGTAAGCAGCAATATAGAAAAAATAGAAACAAAAAAAATAGAAATTGAAAAAGTCTGGGAAAAGAATGCTAGTAGAAAAGCAACCTAAATATTAAGCGCAATCCAACACGAACTCCGAATACTCAAAACAGAACATTTCGAGTGTACATATGTTAGATATATTTGTTGCATATTCACGCCTTTCCGTTCGGAAATTAAAATAATTTTCTGTTTCTTATGAAAAACCGTAATACTGCAGTGGACCCCACCGTCAACACCCTACACCACCTTACAGTTATTCGGACAACGACTTTTCAAAACAAGCTGTTATATGAGAAGTGGTCCGACCTGATCTATATAACATTCGTCCTTGGGTCAAAACACGTCGGTGCACCAAATTTCATTAAAATATTTTGATTAATTTGAAATTTGATTTGGATTGTTAGAATGATTGGAATCATTAGAGAGCGATACGTAAGGAAATCGGGGAGGCAAGCTCTAATATTCGCCTTAGCATAGCATCTTATTTGAACGCCGAGTTTGTTTCGTCTGTAGTCGGGGTCGCGTGTTTTTCGTTTGAATGGTGATGAAGTAAGTTTAAGAATTTTAGAATTTTGGAATTCTATATTAAGAATTTCAGAAGTAATTTGAAAATACACTTATAATGTATCTACCAGTAGCAAATATTTTGATGATTCGACCCCACAATATTTTGAAAATTACAAAAAAAGGTGTAACGGATAATTCAATGCATGAGTAAACGCTGAATGTTGAGCCTTACTGCCTACACACTGAAGTAGAGTAGATTCCTTCTAACTGTGAA